TTAGAAACTTTCCTTTCATTTTCTTTTCTTAACTGCCTGTGTTTTTCGAGACTATTGGCTCATGTACTTGGCATGAATATAAACAACATAAGGATAACCAAAAGGAAATTAATCCATCACAGTTCTAATTTCAATTTGCCTATTTTTATCATCCACATTTTTACCATCTGGAAATTTTTCCATCACTAGCTAAAAATACGATGCTTCTTTTCAAACACTTTGGAGCTTTACAGACAGACACAATAAAATTTTATTCTCATTGTGTCTAATAAATATGCTTAAAGAATCTGTTAATTTTAATGACTACATAAAATATATTACATACATGTATGTATGTGAAAAGATTAATATTTGTATTTATGTGAAAGCAAAAAACGAGGAAAATTTATATAAATATCAAGATACTGATTTTGCATGAATGTTCTTGCAAAATTAAAAAAAATTAATTTCATATAAAAAGGTTTTTTATCATGAAAATAAAATTATAGTTATGAATATACATGTACTTTTAAAACCTGACCTCATGCTATCGAACAAGTAGATATTTACAAAATGGTTAGAAAAAATTTAATAACAGAGAATTTTAACTAGCTAGGTGTTTAACATTTTTATTTGAAACAAATGTAAGCTAATAACAATAGGATTAGAATTTCCTCCTTGCTTTTGTGAATAATGTGTATTGTTGTGAATGCATATATGAGTGGTTGTGTGTGTATGTGTGTATACATAGTTACATAAGATAATGACATAATTACAAATACAACACATTTTATTCAGCTATTAAGTTGGTATTGACTCTAGAGCTATTAGAGTCTTGGATTTTGTGGAAAGTTTCTAATTTTTATAACAAGAGTTCTAATGTCACTCTGCTGTATTAAAGATTTTTTAGTCAATGAGTTGTTTTTATACACTAAAAAAGTAAATGGTGTGAGACTTTGCTTGAACATCTATGGACATGTGCCCGTGTCATCCATTAGTGAGGCAAAGAGTAATTTCTAAAATTAAAAAGAACAAATCTCTCTCTCCCCTACCCCATTTCTCTCTCTTTTTCTCTCAGATATATCTCTAAGATATTTTTTCTTCTCATTATCAGTGTAAATGCTAAATGCCTTGTATTAATAAAAAAGATGTTATTTTCCAGAGTGATTTTCTTTACTGCCTTCATTTTTTTCCTCAAATTTTCTTAAATATAGTTTCTTTGTTGATACTTCCCTAAATATTTTTGATACTATCAGATCAAAGTCTTCCTGCACATGCATGACGTATTATTTCCTGATTCCACAGATACTGTTCCTTGTTAGTTTCCATTATTGCTTCTCTCTGTTTTATTTTCATCATATGTGCGTACTTCCCTTTTTTTTTTCTTCCTTAATGTATAATACAACCTTCTGGAAAAGAATTATCTATGTTTGTTATAATATGTATTTATATTTTTATAATATTATTAAGTCTTCTGAAGATTGAATGATAAAAAAGAATAATATAATTCTAGTTAAAGTTAGAAAGTCACAGTTTAATAAGCAACAAAGGATCAAAAGTATGTTATTTTTAAAATAAAATTCAAGTAATGCTTATTTTTTAATTAAAATGATACAGAATGATTTTATACAAACTTATGGATAATGAAAATCAATTTCATGATGATATTAAATTAGCCTTGAAAAGTAAGACATTTTCCTATATTTGCAAAGTATAATCCATATAGAACATGTATATGCATGAGTATTGATGTGTGTGGGTAGATATCTACATGTGTATGAATCTGGTACATATGGATATAAGTGTGTTAATTGACTTAAATTCCATTCCTTTTATTAAAGAGTCAAATCAGCTTTTTAAAGGCATATTATTTTTATAAATATTTTTCACTATATCCTTTGTTCAGTGGTCAATATATTCCCCAATTTTAACATATCTCGTTAAAGTAAGTCCACTAGTCCTTAAGTCTTTCACATTAATTTTCTAATAATGGATCTTTTAAAAAGTGTTTTTCTACATCAGAATTTGGTAGACAGGAGCAGGCTTACCATGTAGTTCTTTACAAGAATTCTTTAGAAGTAATACAATGTATTGTCTGTTTCTATAAATCTTGTAGTGGGAATGAAATGCCTGAGGCAAAGCATGTCTTCTGTGCTTTCAAAAGTAAGACATCAAAGAAAGATTCTCTTTGCATATAAACATATGAAAATATTCATAAGTGAAATCTTTATTCATTGAGATAAAGCAAAAAAAAGCATTCTTAAAATTTTCTTTCAGAAGCAGTTTCTTAAAATCACAATATAGGGAACACAGGTATAATATAGTTGACAGTGATGTCTTGTGATCTTTATGTACTCAAAATCCAGGCAGCTTATTTGGTGAGTAGTAGAACAAGAAGAAATTTCTGGGCATATGACATTTCAGATTCTACATTTTAGTTATGATCAAAGGTAGAACTTTTTTTGGTTAAATATTAAAACTAGATGCATCAGTTTGGTAAGATTATGAAAATAGTATAATTTTTATAAAGTATATATTAAAGAAGAGAGAAAAATTACAGAGGAGATAACATATTTGAAGAGTGTTACTAGATATTAACAAATCAAGTCTCTGAGTGATGAAATATCTAATAAGGGCCCCTGTGCATGCAGACATGTAGCATGAAATAGACTCATTGTGCTGACCTGCATAACCATACGAGATAAAATGATTATTTGAAGTCACTGAGTTTTGAGTTTTTGTCATGCAGCACTATCATGGCAATTGCTAACTGAGAAAGAAACCTTGGGATGCAGGGATGAAATGATGGATAACACTCCCTACCCACATGTTTTAATAAACAATGTAACTATATATAATAAGTAGCTTGGTTAGCTATTGGGCCACGGGGAAAAATTAAGCAGGGAGAAGGACTGGGAAGTATTGGAGGTATCATTTTAAATACAGTAGTCAGGAAAGCTTCCCTGAGATGGGGATTGTAGCTGGTCAATTGCCCTGGAAAAACCAACTCTGACAAGGAGATTTGTCTTCGGGCTAACTATCCCGTTCATGACAGCAACTGGGTGGTAGCTCTAGTTTAAAATTTAATGATATATTTACGTGTCATCTGGTGTCATCTCCCCTTTCTGCGATCCAAGACTTCTAAACCTGCAGGACCAAGATTCACAGTAAGTGGAAGTACAAACTCTCTAAAATCAGTCATTTAGATGAGTGTGGCAAATGGGACCACTCCCACCCTCTTGGTTTCCAGATTTATGTGTTATATCAATTAATGTCTTCATGTTGGTAGGTCAAGCACACCCTCTGCTGGCTGAAGCCCTGTGGGTAGGAAAGGCAAAAATATGTCGATTCCAGTTGATATGAGTAACTGCCCCTTTTGTGTTTGAAGGGATCTGATGTGTTGTTTTCTACCATGCAGCCCTTTGGACTTTGCCAGGCTTGGTGTCATACTGGTGTCTCAGTTTTGATCTCTTTTGCGGCATATTGGACATTTGGTATCAGCGGTAGCTAGATCAGCCTTGGTAAATGAGAAACTATACTGACAGGCCCATGTGTAGTCTCCATCCTGGCCATCATGGCCACTCTGTTGCTGTATCCAGATTCAATATTCAAATATTTCTACTTCTGGGTCCTGGATCAACCAGTCAAGCCATTCATCATCGCTCATACACTTTATATATTCTAACATTGAGGTGCTTCTCCACACTGAATAGATGAGCAAATGTAGTGTCTGAGCTTTTCCCAGTGGTGAGATCAATATTGCTAGCCAGTATTCTTCAGCGCTCTAGTGGTCAGGCAGTAGTGTAGCTGCAGCCCGTTTTCAGAATGCAAACACATCCAAAGCTAACCTTTTGACAAAACCAACTCAGATTTTTTACTTTTGTCAGCTAGTCATAAAGGACCCCAACTCATGAGGCCATAAGAGGGACCCGAGGGAGCAGAGCTGATCCAACTGTGATGGATTAAGTGGCCCATGAGATAACATAGCTTCCTCCTACTCTGTTGTCTTTCTCAGGCTGAGTCACGGATGTACCATTTCCAGTTTACAATGAATTGCTCCTGGACTTCTCTAACTTTATGACTGTCAGAACCCAGCCCATATTGAACAATTCACATGCAACCTCACATGGTGGCCAATGGTCAGTATTCTGTCAGAGTCCAGTGGCACAGCAAGAGAGGTTTTTAAAAAAAGGTATATAATTCTCTTGAAAGTGGCATAGTTTTGCTCTCAAGGGCCTGATTATGATTCTCCCATGAACTTCACCTTTCCGTCTTTTTTTCACCATTGACACCTCCAACATCATAAGATGCCAAGAGAATGAGTCAAGGGATAGGTCTTGTACTATAGCCTTGACCCATGGCAGAGCCCTTTCTTACTCTAGGGGCCCCTCAAATCTGGCAGCATTCCATGTGATTAGGCATAACGCATTATTCCCAAGTGTGGAATATATAGCCTTCAGATCCTAAAGAGGCTGGTGAGGTGTTCAGGTGTTGGGCATCCTTCTTTGGATCCCAAGATGCAACCATTTGCCTTTTATTTCATAGTGGATGTTTGGCAGGTTTCTGACCACTGAACATTTTATTGAAGAGGCAGAAACCTGAATCTTCACAGGGTTTATCTTCCGTTCTTTGGATCACATGTGTTTTACCAAAGCTCCCAATATACTTGTTTCTTGCTTAACTGGTTTAATTATGTATATGATATTCATAATATCATGGGCTGAAGTGAAATTTTGTAGTGTATCTGGCTGTACCAGGTCTCTTTGAACTATATGATGGCAAAGGGTGGAAGAGTTGACATTGTCTTGGGGTAAGAATGTAAAATATACTCATGTTTCAAGCAAGTTGCAGCTGTTTCTGATCCTCTTCTCTGTAGGGACAGAAACCAGTACGTTCTCCAGATCAGTGGCCACATATCTGAAACTTTGTTACCTGTTCTAGCAAGGAGAGCTCATCTGGCACAGCACTGCAACTGGGACCCCCTCAGTGAGTTTATGGTAATCCATTGTCATCCTCTGGGACCTGGCAGCATGAGACCCGTGCCTAGTGGTGACACTAAGGATACCACAGATGGCAGCTATAGGCAGCTCATTTCAGTCCTCCATCAGGAGGTAATGTCTATATTTTCCTGCCTCCCAGTGCTCTCTGATTACTCAAACAAACAAACAAAACAGCACAGGCAGTGTTGGCAACATGTATTTTTCCTTCACTCCCCTCCTTTCACAAGCAGAGGAAACCCACTGAAGCCAGTGGCTCTAAGCAGAGCACCAATCCCTCCTTCCCAGTTTGACTGCGGACCGGTTGGCAGCCGAAAATTACGGGGCAGCGCCATCTGCTCTCAGCTCCCTAGTTCGGCAGGCAGTTGTCTTCAGCCAAGTCATCGCTTGGGTTTCTGTCTTGTTTCTTCCCCAGAAAGACGTTTATCTTATTCTTAAGAAGCTATGCCTTTAAAAATTAAATTGTTAATGCTAAGTGTTAGGAGAAGAGGAAGTGTGTTCAGTTGCGAAGATACAGAATCATCTCAACTACATATCTTCAGATACTGTTTTCACATTCATATTACTTATTTCTATCACATTCTCAAATCAGTAAATATTAAATGGAGTGGCTTCTATGTCATTCTTTCCCCTCCATGAACGTGTTCCTTGGAGTTCTTGTTGATATCTCATTGATTATTGCTAGTCTTGGTGCCCTGAATATATGGAGCCAAAATCATTTTTAATAAATTAATTCTTTGGTTTAAAGTTTTACCTAATTAAAATCTAAGGCTACCTGTCTATATATTCTTTAACTATTCTCTAGCTTTGTTGGCAAAGAGGCAGGTGAAACTTTCAGGAATCATAACTTCTAGAGAAGTTGGAATCTGTGTATATTTATACAGGACATTTTCCTACTCAGGTGCAGTGAGAATTTCTGGGTTTTTTTTTTTTTCTTTCTAATTTACACTGCCTCTTTCAAATTCCCCATCAACTTTTTTTCAAGACAGCCAGCTAAAGTTATTTCTTCAAATGAAAGCTAAGTTGGGCCAAATACATTTTAGTTTTGACCCAAAGAAAGAATTTGACAGATACTATAAATAAGTTTTTTTACAGATAAGAACAGGAGTTATTTATCAGATGTCCTGAGGGTATAGAATGAGTTGTGAGTAAATCAATGTGTATTCCTGGAGGTTGCCTTTCAAAAATTATTTGAAACACTTATTTTGAAATTGCATATCAGTCTCACAAAACCTATGATGATATCTCCAAAGTGTGCAAAAGGCACTGAACAGCCGCAGATCAGGATGCTGATTAAACGAACATACATGCGTTTATTAAAAATAGGTCAACAGTATATACAAACACACGAATTTATTTTTTCAGAACCTAGAAAGGATTTCATCTTTGACTCAGATGTAGCAGTTAACAAATGTTTCCCCCTCATGTAGGTGAGCAGCAACGTATACAGGGCCGGAGATGGCAGCTGACAGGGCAATTTGATTGTTCCTTTCTTCTGGGGTTTCTGGTTTTCTGAAGTGCTGTTTTCTGTGTTATTACCTGTTTTTTTTTTTTTTCTCTAAGACAAACATCTTCTCCAATGCTTGTGCTTCTCTGAAAGCAAAACCAGTTGATAGCAAGAGTGTGCCAATAACTGCAATGATAGATGAAACAGAGCCTTAGAGAGAGATGGCTTTGATTTTGTTGTTGTGAACAAAGAGAAATTAAACATTTCCCACATTATTTTCACTCTTGCCTAATCTTGATCTCCTGATTTCATGTAATTTATCTCCAAGTCTTCTAAAATGGAATGGACTTTTCATACAGCTCGGAAAGAAACAGCTAGCCAGGTACCTGGCCCATATTAGAAGCTCAATACGTGGTCACTTACATGCTTACTTTTCCCTTTTCTTCCTTCAGCAGCACCTGCAGGGTGATTCCTTCTCTGTAGGACATCAGCACTGAAATGGATTCAGAGATAGTTTTTCATTTGAAGGGAAAAAATGCTTAGTATGATGATCAGGTAGAAGACTGTAATAGATTTAACTAGAACTGGAGTTAACTATAAAGGAAGAAGATAAAAAAAATTAGTTTTTTTTAAAAGCACGTTTTTATCCTAAAAAAACCAGTCTTTTCTTGTCATTTTTTTTCAAGACCATGGTTGAAATCTCCTTCTCCACAGTTGAATTATGCTCAGCAGAGAATGCTGAACTGGATTGCCAAAAGTCAGTCTAGTTACTCTTGATAGTAGAAATAAAGTAAGTTCTGAAGCAAAAAGCTGAAGTAGATTTATTTTCAAATTATAGTAGAGATGATTTTCTAAAGGAAAAGATTGGAAATTAGTGCCTGTAAGTTTCTAAAATTGTATTAACCAGTATTTTCTTGATGGAACTTAGGTAATGTATCGTCTGAAGCTAAAATATAGTAATGGGAAGTAATTCTTATGGGATTTTCATTTCATTTTATTTTTTATTTTGAATAAAATAGAACTAATCGAATCGAAAATAAGTTGATAGAAAGTTGTCAGAATGAACAATCAACAAAAAAATCTATATTTGAGTCTACTAGCAAGCAAGGCAAGTAATTTGACCTCAATATATATCTGCCATCATAGTCATGCAACATTTTACATAATTTAAATTTACTAATAAACCATCTTTTAAATAACAGTCAGCAAAGAAAAATCATGAATTAGTTTATGTCTTACTTTCATTTTTATTGACTGCTGTTAAAATTATTTAAACATTTGTAGGCTTACAATTTTAAAATGTTGTTGATATTATTAGTAATGGCTAGCTCCCTGCTGTGTCTCTGTGCACATTGCATGTTTTGGCCATAGGAAAATGGATCAAAACATACAGAAGAATTATTTGAAATGTCCTGTATTTTTCAAATTATTATTTTAAAACTTTCATAACAATGTCACATGGCTCTTTCTTTTTTTTTTGAGGAAAAGAGGGAAAGGGATAACTGTTCTTCTCCACATGCTTGAGAACTAGAGGCACTTATTGGGTCCCTGTGATACTCTGACTGTTGCAGCCCTCCTTTCTGAAGCTGTACTTCTGGTGCTGCCACCACCATACTGTTCGGATGGATTCTGTCCTCCAGTAGCGAGGACATGTGTAGCTGTGTGGGTGTGTGTGCAACACACAGAGGGGCTGCTTCTTGTGAAGCATTCTCCTGCATGTCTGTTCCTCATGGCGGACCGTGGGTCAGATTCCTGCCTGACCCTGCCTTCCAGAGGCATGCAATGGCTTAATCCATGGTTGTGCTGTTCCTGAAGAAAAATCACTGTTTTGACATCTGACCAGCCTGTGGGGATTTAGTTCTTGTGGACAGCTTTTTCCAAGTATTACTTTTACTCCTCCCACTCTGTGTAAGTGTTACTGAGTCCAAATTCATTCTGTTTGCTGCATGACAGGCCAATAAATCAGGAGACGAGATGCTGGGGCAGGGAATAATGACTTTATTTGGAAAGCCAGCAGACCGAGAAGATGGGGGCCAATGTCCTAGAGAACTATCTTCCCCAAGTCAGAATTCAGGCTCCTTTTATATTGAAAAGGGGAGGGGTGTGGTTGATTGTTGCAAACTTCTTGGTGTTGCACCTGTCCGTATAGGTCAGGTTGTGGTGTTCCTGTAAACCTCCAACAAGACAAAAGTTATTCTCTGTTCTGCAACTTTTTTATCTCTGTGTGAATGTGAATGGAAGAGTGTTATCCTTAAAGGTCCAAGCCTTGAGAATGGACTATCCTGTATATTTCAGGCTCAAGGCAAAAGGTGCCATTCTTTTAGAAAAGGTGCAGAACCAGAATGATTAAGCACAGGAAACAGAGCACAGGGTTAGAGCTAAAGGAACAGTTCTAATATGGAGTCAGATTTTTTCTTCTCTGTTACATAAGTGTGGCAAAGTTTTCTTGAAAACCTGAAAATACATTAAAATGAGCTTGGAGCAGTTATTGATATATAAGAGATCCTATATACGTGCTAGCTTCAAAGTGTTAGCTGTTAGTAGATTCTTTCCCACGTATAAAGAAATGGACATGTAAAAATGTATTTTAATGTTATTATCTTAATATACATTTCTCAAAAGTTCGCTGTGACTAACATGTCATTTCTACTTGTTTTTAATTGTTTCTTTCAGTCTCCTAAATACTATATTTTTACTTAATTATTAATATCCCATTTTACAGATGAGGAATTTGGGGCACAGAGAGATAAAATTACTCACTCCGGGTCACAGAGTTGGTGAGTGGAGGAGCCAGGATTTAATCCCAGCTGTGGCTCCAGACCACATGCTCTTAACCCCGGTGATACCCTGCCCTGCCTTAGCCTGACATTTGGTAGAACACCCTATGTAGATTCATTCCTTCATTGATTTATTAATTAGCCAATAGTAACTGTGCATTTACTATGTGTCATGCTCCATAGTAAATGGTAAAGATAAATTGCCAATAAAGAGAAAAAGTGACTATTTCCACAAAAGACTGCATAGTATATATTATTTCTTCATGAATGAATCCTCAACATTGTCTACAAGTCACAGCCAAAAGAAAGAATTGAGATACGGGATCCAATCTTATCTCAGAGAGAGAAATACTTCACAAAACCTGTGAAGAGAACTCCCTGTATTTTTCCAGCTCCCTTTGGTGCTTGTATTTCAAACTTAAATTACTCCATGCTACATTTTGAGCCCACTGCATCTTGCCTTGTCCTTAGTGGAGGTATTTTTTGTCTACCATTCCCTGTGTGTGCACAATTTGTGTATTTGAAAGTTATTAAATTATGTATTCTAATGTCAAATTTGCAATCTGATTAAACTCAATTACTTTGGTTTTATCATACATTTTATTTCCCAAATCCTAAAATGTATTTTAACCAAGGATTACTGGTTAATATTTGTGTTGAAATACCTTTTTAATCAATTGCTCACATGAGGAGAACTGTGTAAAACATGTTTAGTATCCACGTTAATGTTGGATTCTTCTTTGTTCAATTTTTTAAGTATATAGGAGGAGGGAACTGTTAAGATTATTTCATAAACAGGAAAGTAAATGAATAGATAGCTATAAAACTGTAATTTTAAAGAAGCAGAGGAATGTTCCATGGTACATTGAAGTATCTGTTTTATTCTTGTT